AAACATGAAGAAGCTGGAGTTCCTGCACAATTCTGAAAAGATGAAGAAATGAGAGTGTCAGCGCTTCATGAAAGGAGTCAGCAGAAGTTACTGCTGTGAAAAGCGATACTGGATCGAACTCGAAGCGCAGAACCTTGAACAGTCTGTTTTGAAGAAGGGCTGGAAGACACTGTACAGACAAGTCGACATTATCACAAATGGCGGCAAACATAGCTGTTACATTACTCATTACTTTTCTACATTACTCTCGTCCACACCAACCCTGGTGTACTGCATTCATACAATGGGAGTCAATTTTATTTATGTTGTTTTTAAAGTACAATACCGTTTTTTTATTTTTTATCTATGATCTTTTACTTATTATCATTGAAATCTTATGTTGCCATGCATTTTAAAATGATGTCATTCCTTTTCTGCAGTTGAGACAGAAACTTCAGACTACAAAAGCTGGAACTTCCACTTCATACGACGTCTCATCGATCGAAAAGATAGTTCTTTCTGAAAATTGAGAGCTGGGCGGTACTACTGATTCATTTTATGTTGTACAGTTCATATGGTTAACTACAGTAATCTGTTTTCGCACATTTTCAGTTGTTTAAGGCGAAAATCGAAGTTGGCGACGTGATTCAGAGTATATACGACATAAGCCTAAGGAATGGAACGAAGCGACAACTAGTCAACATGGTAGCTGCATGCAAAGACATGCCTGTTGTTTTGACGGTCATAAAGGTAAATGATTTTTGCTTTTAGCAAATATCTGCCATTTTCTTTTGTTTTAACTTCATAGATCTAAGAAAACACATACCATAGCATCTTATTCCGGATTTGTACTGTTGAAACATACTACCTCGTTTTTTCTGAAACCATTAAAATGGCCATGAGTCAATGAGTTACCTGCAGTGGATGGGTGAAAACAACATTGTCAGTAGCATTAAGGGAAAAGTTTTGTTGGTAAACTGAAATTTTTTTCTGTAATGAGAGGTGTAATTGCTTCTGCCTGAAGTGCACTAAATTTTCAGTTCAGATCTCGTTTGTATTCCTGAAAAATGCGTTGAGCATTAGTTGAAAATTGGAAACAGGTAATCGTAAGCTACATTTCAGACGTTAGTTTCAAATTCACTTTCTGTATCCGAAATACAGTAAATATGCGGGAGGTTCATGAAAGAAAATTTCCTTGCCGAATGTTCCTTGACATTAATGTATAGAATATATGAGTAGCAATAATTACAAAGCAATCACAGATAAGCATTCTTTACACAAAAATGTGGACTTTTACTATTGCAGACTGTTTTTTTTCTTAGTAGATGCATGAGTAAAGGTGTGCATTCACTGTGACAGTCCATTAGTAAAGTCTTAATTCTCGGTGTTTACAGATTCGTCATGTACATGTAATACTGCATGTGTAAATATGTTTGGGTATTTGCATTAGTGGGGCTAAAGACGTACTAAACGAACACATTCTGAATTAGCGCACTTCACGAATAGAATTTGGGCCAGAGATGGAATGGACTGTTGAGCAAGACTGTGTTCGAATTCTTTGGTTGTGGGAAAGAAAGTCCAGTAACGAACAGGCATTTGTGTAATGTAGGCAATGCCGAAATATTGCGCAGTAATATTGAATGTAACATTCTCATATCAATACTGCACAGTTACACCTCGAAGCACTGTCCCCTTATTTCTAGTTGCCCAGAAGACCGATTAAGGACCTCCCCGCTCCTTGGCAGTTTATAACCTGCATTGCTTTGGCACAAGGTATCACCATTTTGTTGGGTAGAACAGAAACATGTTCGAACTCCAAAGAGTATGTCTCATTCCGTAGGGATTTATACCAAAATAAAGTTAGCTAGCTAGTTTCCTAACATGTTTTTGTTCGATCCAACAAAATGGTGCTGCACTGCGCTCATGCAATGCAGAGATTAAAATACCGTGGAGACGAGGCCTCTTTAAATGGTCCTCTAGGGTACTAGAGGCAGGTGGACCATGCTTCGTCATGAAAATCCGGAGGAATGTAGTTCTTACCGACGATATTGAAATCTAGCAATTTGATAGCAAATCCATAAAAACAAGGTTTATGTTTGGAGTCCTGAACGTATATAATATCCAATACATGCTGTGACTAAGTACTGTGCACTTCACTATTGGGTAAAGTAAATTTGAAATATTTCGTGCAACTGATTCACATTTATTTGTTGCACCTAGAACCATTTCAAGCTCGCAATTCCTTGTCCTTCTCGCTTCACGTTGTTTGTCGAACTGTTCACAGCCTCCACTTTTTTTGATACGTTATGAAATGAAATTCCGTTATGAAATGTTATGAAATTTTGTTATGAAATGCCGTTTTATAAAACATTATTTCTTTTAATTCTTGTTGCTCCATGGCAAACATCGAGATTAAATTCTCAGGGTTGCTTCTGAGCTTCGATCAGTTTCAGTGCTATAAATTGCTTAAAATAATGCATATGTGAGTTACCTTTGACTATTATTTCTCGTGACTTTTCTTTTCTTCTTTTTCATTGTTTTCTACTTTCATAATTTCTGCTTAGTATTTATTAATGCTTTCATGTGATTATCAAATACCAATTGTATTTTACCTTCTACTACTTTTAAATCTACTTGTTTCTTATCTGTGACAAAATACAACCTCTATACTTTTCATTATTACTACCGTTTCTGTTTGTGAAAGAAAAGGACATGAAATCGATCTTAACGCTTGTAAGGCAGCAGCTAGCGTCAATGCCGTTACTTATCTTCCTCCACCATGCTCCTATTTTTCCAACGTACATTCGTACTTTTTTTGCAACGCAGATCACCTGTTCAACTTCATGGACTTTCCGCAGACTTAGTTGAGCGAAAAGTTACAATGCATTACTTCAAAAGCTGGCCTGAATATAGCATTCAAACATTGGACTGCGCTTCGCAATCTTCTCAGCCACCTGAAAACTAGGATGCCAGAAGAACAGAAACAAAGCTGGGTTTAAAAACTTCTCCGCTGATGTGGTTCAGTGTAAATTGGTGAAACAAGCAATGTGATGGAAGAAAGGGACCGACATAAAAGGAACTTTGTCATATAGAACAACACCGATATAAGAGAAAGAGGTCAAAAATAAGAACCTAGAGGAAGGAAACAAAAGATCTGAAAATTATCAAAGCGGAATATCTGAAAAATTCATCTTTGTTAGAAAATAACATAATCCATCAACACACGATATCTTGGGATAAGATGAAAGGTTTCATACTGGAGAAATAATATTTCACCCGTAAAGTCAAAGAAGCCTTGCAAATCCGCGCAACTGGCTGTATCAGTGACCTTGGTAGTCAGACCTGCATGAAACTGAGGCTGTGCAAACATCGTTACTCTGCAGACGGACCGAGTTTTGTCTGAAACGTCAGACCCTGCTGTAGGATGTTTTTAATTAAAACTTTATGCGTTGTTATCCGTTTGTTATTATTCATATAAAATATCAACGATAACTGTAGTATTTTCTTGATTTAACATGTCACTTGTCCAACGCTCTTTAATATACAAACAAAATGAGAACTGGTTTTAGTGTATTGGTAGAGACAACAAAATATATCCGCCATTGCATCGCACGCTAGATGACCTCGGATTTTCGTCGCATCACCTGATGGTCAAACATCGACAGCGAATTGAAGAACTCACTTTCTCATTCACTGAGCCTCCAAGGAACTCTTCCACTTCTGCTTACGGCGCTGTGCAGGACAACGATTCGTTGCGTGCTCTCTATCTAGGTTGTCTTGAACTTACAGGCTCTGGCAGCGTGAACAAACTGGGCAACTGCATTCTGGAAGTTTTGGATCAAAACCGCGATAAGACAGCGGTTACACTTCACATCGGTTCGTTAGGATTAATGGTCATTTATGAAGAAACGGAACAAGTAACCACCTTGTTGCTTCTTCTTGCTGTCTTCTTACAGCTTACGAACACTGTTTCAGATTTTGTTCTGTCGCGGATATCCTGAAATATCTGCATGCGGTCGAAGATTGGACCGGCCAAAGATTTTTGCTGTTATTGTTGGGTAAGAATTTATTGCAAGTAAATGTTCTTTAGACATTTGTAAAACCGTAGCTGACTTACTTTTTAGTTGCCACGTCAGAACTGACCGTTTAACTAAT